ATCTTTGGCTATTGTAGTCCAAAGAACTCCTTTTTTTTTTAATTGATATAAATTTGAAATTTGGTCATAGCCTTCTCGATTGAGTTTGCTATTATCACTATATGTGAAGTGGTATAAATTAAATTTGTTCTCAGGATTGATTGAATTGTTCTCACCATATTGAAATTGAGGATTGAGATAATATGCTTTGGTATGCAATTGACGATAGCGTTGAAGAAACCATTTCTTATCTCTTTTTTTTTTTTTTAATTTTATTGTAGTGAGATTCCTCGCGTCCTAAGTTATGCACCATGAACTCCCTATCATCATTTATCGCATTATAAATGAAACTTATAGCTGGATTTTCTTCCCATCATTTATTCTTAAAACTTGAACCAAGGACATAGTAGTTATTAGCAAAATGCATGCTTAAGCAAACTTTTTCATTCAAATTAATTTTTCTTACTTCTTTTCCTTCATGTTTCTTAGCCAACCATATTTTGCTGCCAAAAGGTTGCATTGCTTTGAATAACCTTTGTAGTCAAGTAGGCTATAGGAAATTTAGTTGTAATAGGATATAGAAATTATTTATTAGAAAATTTTCTCATGAAAACCAAAATCTAACCATGATTGTAGATGAATTTCTTAATCATCTTAGTTTTGCCAAAGACTTTACTGTGTTGGGGCATCTTTCCAAGTTTTTCAAGAATCAAGTCTATGCAATGTCTCGCACATGGTGTCTAATGCATCTATCTTCTCTTCTATATCAATTTATTTTTTATTGCTTTATAAGTACTACCATTGTCATTGAAGATCTGTACCGCTAAATGCTCCTAGTTTACTTTGTGATTCTATCAAAAAGTCCAAAATCATATTTTGAACTGTCTGATCTGATACTTAAACAAACATTAAGACATAGCTCCGTAGGAATTGTAAGTTAAAATGTTGATTAAGCTTCTATTTTTAATATTAGAGAAAGCATTATATATGATAGCAACTCCAGCTTGTTTTAAGTTTTTCTTATTCTCTCAATAGCTTTCTCAATTATTCAGGTCCTTTTTCAGTATCCAAGTCTTAAGCTCATACATAGATACAGGTTTAAAGCGTCAAATATGGAAACCATAGAATGGATCATGTTCACATAGGTTGTTGAGTTTGTTTCATTAAATGGATAAAATTTTCATAAAATAATCTTCCAATATGCATACCCACATGCTTGCATACTTTTTATGTACTTTGAGGAGATACCTATTGTGCTTCCATTGTGCCATTGTCCTTCTCATTCTTAATATTTATCATGTAGTGATTAATAGGTCCTCATGCATCTCTAATTGATATTCATGGCAAAAAAGAAGAATATTTGCCACCAAGACCAAAACCATATATTATTTGTTGTCTACTTTGTAATCAAATTATCGTTGCTCCATATACTTTGGTATTCTCATCTATTCATATAAACATGGATCTCCTCTTCCACCTGCTGAAGCACTTTGGCATATATTGCAATATCCTTATAAGATCAAGAAATATGCTCTATTATTATTGTTACACTACCTTTAACAATCATGCCATAATAGTTGCACTTCGAAATATACGTCCCGTCACTCATTCCATTTTTGACTTGCACACTATGTTTTATTGCTAGGTCTTTTCTATGCCCAACTTAACATTTTTTTAGTTTTCTTCTTACATCTTACTATTCTACAAAACAAGCTAGAAAGAATGTTTTAATTCAAAAACAATGTTGTAACATGAAAGAATTCACAAAATAAGAAATTCTAAATAATTAAAATTTTGGGTTACGAATGAAAGTCAATGTCTATTGTTATTGGCAAGAAGAGATGTTGTGGAGTAAGATATGTTGTGGTCCTTGTTGGAGAAGACTGATATGATCCAAGCAGATTTTCACACAAAAATTATGACAAATAATATTTTATTTCAAAAACATCAAATACTCGAGAAGAATATAAGAATACGCACCTACAATTCGAGAGGTAGGAGATCTCTCCCAATTCTTATAATTTGAGAGGTAGAAAATCTCTCCTAAACCCAAACCCTAAGATACAATATCTAATATCATGCATAATTCTAGCTCTAAACATATTAGTCATATTCATACTAATCAATAATAAATGACAAATAACTAAATTTTCTTTAGGCTACATATTGTCCTCAAAGTGGAAATAAAATGTTGCATCAGGTGGCTCCCATGTGGCATCATCATTTGGAAATATTTTTCATTTAATCAAAAAATCATAGTGACCCTACCATCTCGAAATGTCATCTCGTGCACATCCTTCAGTCGCATCTGAATCTGATGGCACCTTGACTTCAAGTCAATTCGTGAGAACACCACCGCCCCTAACAACACATCTAATGTCAACCTTCCTGTTTATGTCTTTTGATAACCTCACCCACCAGCTTGAATTTAGAGGCTTTAGCTTTTTTTTCTTGATTTGTAGTTAGGGGATTCAATGATTTTTGTACCCCAATTGTGATATGCAATAAATAGAGCATTTTGTATTTAGGGCTGTCAAAAAGGCTCGTTGTTCACGATATATATATATATATATATATATATATATTTGATGAGTACTATTTTTAAAAACTTTAATTGACTACAAGCCTGCAATGATTTATAATCAATTAAAATTTTAAATTAAGAAAAGAGAAACTGTTAGACTAGTGCATGTCATTATTATTTGAGTAAATATGCAATTGTTTATGAGTAGATCCTTAACATCTTATGACTACATAATTAGGGTTGTCAAAACGACTCTTTGTTCGCGCACGGCTCCCGTGGCGCCCTAGCAAACGAGCCGAACACGAACACACTTTTTGAGCTCGAAATATAAATGAGCCGAACACAAACACACTTTTTGAGCTTGAAATATAAATGAGCCAAACACGAGCAGAGCCTGGGCTCGTTCGTGTTCGGCTCATTTACACCCCTATTTGTATTGATGTTGCCCTTCCTGTTTATATTCTTTTGATAACCTCAGCCACCACCATCAGGAACTTAGTGGCTTTAGCATTTTGCTTGATTTGTAGTTAGGAGATTCAGTGATTTTGGTAACCCCAATTGTGATATGCAATAAACATATATCGTAGGGGTGAGGAGTTTGCATAAACTTGTCTAGATTTTTTTATGTCAGATCGATGGAGATTCAATGATTTTGGTAACCCCTATTGTTATATGCAATAAATAGAGCATTTTGTATTGATTTTGACCTTCCTGTTTTATATTCTTTTGATAACCTGTTCCACCATCATGAACTTAGTGGCTTTAGCGTTTTGCTTGATTTGTAGTTAGGAGTTTCAGTGATTTTGGTAACCCCAATTGTGATATGCAATAACCATGGTGGTGGGGCGCAATATGAGTGGATGGGAGAAACTTATTTTGATTAGTATGTTTTTTTTTTGTATTTTAATTTGATATCTTGGTTTTGATAGTTCAATGTTTATATAACTTATTTTATTTCATGATTTGATATTAGAATATTAATATATTATTTCTTATTTTGGACAATTTATTATTTTTTATTTTGTTAAAATGTTATTATATTACATTTTAATATGCTAATATGTTAGAATATTAATATTATATTCTTACTTCATACTTTATAGTTTATACAGTATTTGTTAATTTACTCACTTTTTTAAATTTGATGCTTACGTCCCAAACCGCCGCTTTTTTAAGTTTGATGCCTACGACCCAAACCGCCTTGAGGGTTTTGGCTTAACTCACAGATGAAAAATATCTCTGTACCAAATTGTGCAATTTTAGATCTTGGTCAGTCCATAAAATATAGTTTAAACTGTTAAATTTGATTTTCTTATTTTGTTCTTGATGGCAAAGCATGTTGGCTTACAAACTGAGGCATGAAATGCTTGCTTTAGCGGCAACAATCTTCTTTGTATTTTTGCATTTTATTTGTAGGCATTCTTCCAATGCCTAGGAGCCTTAATTTTTTTCTCCTCACTTTAAATCAGCTTAAGAATTGTTCTTTTTGATTATATAAATGTTGGTACTTACATGTGGAGGATAAATCCGTGTGTGTGTGCGTGTGTGGTGTGTGATGTATTTTGATACAACATGTACACTTTTTTTATGCACAACATTACGTTCTTCTCGATACATCATATTGCAAGTTTTATAAGAACCGCGTTGCACCAAAATTGTACACAATTTTATATGCACAACATTACATGCTTTTCGATCCATCATTTTCTTGGATTTTGTATTAGAATTTATTCATTTTCATTATCTATCTCATATCATATCTGTCATTTATATTATTTGTTTGATGTATCGATATATTCAAGAAACACTAACTGCAACTTATAATAATTATAAATTGTTTTTGGTCATGGAGGTACTTAGAATTTCACATGGTGATAAAGTCGGTCCTGACGCGGTTAAATTCTGAAAAAGCTTCTATCAAGAATCCCAAGTAATTGAATTCAACAAAGGACTATATAAAATTTCTTAATGCCTACAATTTTTAGGATGGTTTTCTAATGAGTTGGCCATGAAAAATTATCAGTGATCTTGATGTAATGATTTAAAAAGCTTTTATCTATGCACTATTTTTTGAAATTCACAACAATTGTATTCTTAAAAAATGTTGGGTATAAAAACTTCTATTTGATCATCTTATAGCATATAACTGCATTGCATGTTGTATTGCAGCATCTGGGCCATAAATTTATACTAATCGCACAAGCTATAGCCAGATTCAGTGGCTTTGGAATCTAATAAGTTTGCTCCTCCCTTGATTTGTTTCAGCAGTCCAAATTAAGCCTTATTCATTTTGAATGTTTTTAAGAGAATGAAAATAAAATTTGCACTCTTTATCGAAACTGTCCTATCCCCACAAAAAGCAAGGGAGAGAGTGATGACTTGATTTATGCACATTTTTATTTGTTTTCTTGTAAATAGAAAGTACAATTTGGATCCATAATATATGCCATATGAAATTTCATGTTTCATTAACCCTTGTTTCTGTTATAACATATAGGCCATATATCTCTACCATGAGTGGACATTCTAGCTGATAAAGTGACAGCAGCAGTTTTTCCTTCCGATGAGGAATTCATGGTGTTTTGAGTTATTGGATTCCAAGATTCTAATTGTTGCTGTATTCATCAAAATTTTCATCATACTATATCAGAAACCATACTCTGTAACACACTGAGGCTGTAGCAGTGGAGTTATCAGTGTATGATACACCATATAGTTGGAGATGTGCAGAGCTTGATTTATCCATTTTGATTTTACTTAATAGTATTATACATAAGAATAATTGTCTTTTGATTGCAGTCTCCTTTCAATAAACTTGGAAAATTGAATCATTTACCTGCAGAGTAGATGTTCTGCTACCTTCTGGGCTTGGATTCAGTTATTCATTGTACTGTAATAGGGATACATAGAATTTCTAGTTGTGATTATCAGCTATATTGTACGCTAACTAATATGATTTTCTGCTTGATGAGTGTAGCAGTAATTGCAGTCGGATGAAGTGCATTGCTAAGCCAAATTTGGTTAACAGTTGCATGATAAATTGTCCATTAGTTGGTCTCTGTTCGTTTTTCCTGTCTGCCTGTTGTGCCAACAAATGTAAAAGCTTCAATTTTAAATGATTACTATACCTATCTTGATGTGAATTTGGTGTCTTTGAATGTATAATTAGTGTTTGGGAAATATGATCATGCAGACGGATTGTACGAATATATAATGTACAAATGATTTATTTATATGTTATGTTTTTAAAACATGCTGTGTGAGGACGGATGAGATCATATAAGATTAATAAAAAATAAATAAATTTTAATAGTTTATTCTGAATTTTGAATTATACATTTTAAAATTAAATTAATATGAATTTGCTTTCTAGTCCTCGCCAACGCACTGGTTAAATCTGAAAATTAGGAAATGAGGGAGGGAATCTGCAGCAGAAATCATGAAATCAAATATATTTCTTTAATGGTTAAGATTACAGTATGGATGTTAGGTACTTGCACAGCGTACATTATTTTAGTTATAATTTTGAATTATAAGGTTGAAAATTAATTCTTGCTAACAATTTAGGAAAAAATATTACATCAATATTTAGAAGTAACGTGCTTAGCCAATTAAATCAAGCCACGACACCCCGCGCGACAGGGAAAAAAATGGCGCAGTAACACGGGGAATATTTCCAAAAAAAATGGCGCAGTAACACGGAGAATATTCCCCGTCTTATTGATGTGTTATTGATGTGTTATTGTGTTATTGTAATACCAAAAATATTATCAAGACATAATAACACATGAATAAAACACAATAATACTTGAATAACATGAGAATATTCCCGACAGTAGTGAAAAAACGACGCTGTAACACGGGGGAACATTCTCCCCCGTGTTATTCATGTGTTATTCATGTTATTATAACACCAAAAATATTCTCAGGACACAATAACACATGAATAACACACAATAACACATGAATAACACGAGAGAGAATATTTCCCGTGTTACTACGCCATTTTTTTCTCTGTCGAACGGGGTGTCGTGGCCTGATTTCATTAGCGCGCCCGGACTGATTTCAACAAAATCTGAAAAGTCTATGCTGATTCCTAAGCTTCATTTGAGAAGGCGGTAAGATGTTATCTTCTATTGCAGCGAATGCAGATGTCAAATTTTTCGTTTGATAAAGCAGTAACCTATGGTCGCGCCACAACCCTTCCATCAATATTGCATCAAGATTCAACAATGTAACCTTCGTCAAGGTCAACCTCTTAAGTACTGTTTCTCATTATTATACCAATAGATGCTTGATACTATCATTAACATAACTGCAAATTTAGTTATAAATTAAAGGCATCTTCATGTTGGAACTCCTCCAAAACAATGCAGAAGTGGTTCAAATCTTGCCAAAGAAAACGAAAATTGGATTCCACAAGCTAAAAAGAACTCTGTTGATCCTTTTGAGTCATGTTAAAGCTTCGCCAAGTTTATTTACAGAACCTTTAGAATGAAGTAGAAAAAAAATTAAAAAGCACGAATCTTTAACAATTCATTTGGGCAAAAAGCTAGTGTTTAATTGGATTTAAATCACATATAAAATGATGTATCAAAAATAGCAAAAAATTAACCAAAAAATGTGCTAAGTTGAGAAGTAATAAAGTTGCATACTCAGGGCTTCAGCTGTGCATTGATGCTTGCACGGACCGCATGTCTGGCAGCCGGTGCCTTCTCATTCACAAGGATTTGTTCCACAAAATCCACACGGATTGAATTGAATTCATAATGCTGCATAATTCGCCAAAAAAAAAAAAAAATGTGCCCATTCGGAAGTCAATTAAAAAATAAATGAGACAAAAAAAAAATCCTAAATGTGAGCAAAGAAGAATACCATCAGCTAATGGTACCAGGAATTTAAAGCAATGAATATGCAAAAGAAAAAGTGTGATGGCGTGGGCTGTAATAATCTTGCCAAAGAAAACGAAAATTGGATTCCACAAGCTAAAAAGAACTCTGTTGATCCTTTTGAGTCATGTTAAAGCTTCGCCAAGTTTATTTACAGAACCTTTAGAATGAAGTAGAAAAAAAATTAAAAAGCACGAATCTTTAACAATTCATTTGGGCGAAATTATCTATCTCACACCTAAATAAGACTTTAGCTATGAATGAAAATATAGATTTGACCATTAAAAAGTGATAATGAGTGTTATTTTTCATATGGTACTTGTAAAAATAAAAATTTTTGGTGCGAGATAGGTAAATTCATAAGAATTGGGTGCTATGCATGTAACTGACCCAAAAAATTAATAATAATAATAAATGAATAAAAGGGTAATTTTAACTTCAGGTCGGTTCAAAAGCATCAACCATCTCACGGTTATTTTTTAAGGGATGGATGTCTCACCAGAGCATGAAAGAAGAACCCGATGAGAGAACAAGAGAGAGAGAGAGACACATAGCGAGGAAGAGGATGAGATATCGAATTTTAAGGGGCATTCTCACGTGCTTAAAAATTTAAAAAAATAATAATAAAAACAAAAACAAAAACAAAACAAAACACACACACACACACAAGAAGATGTATCGTGTGAGAGAGCATTGGCACTCTACGTCAAAGCTGAAGGAGGAAGCCACAATGCAAGGAACCTTAACATTTTTTGTGTGTTGTGGTGTGTCGAGGCAGGCATTGGAGAACACTAGCGAGAACACAAGCTAATTCAAAAGCGACTCCTGCAAGAGACAGGAGTTAGGCTGTCTATGGGAAAGAAGAAAAAAAGGCAGTGCACCCTTAGGAGTTGTTTGGTTGCAAGTAGGATTTATAAGTAGAATTTAGCAAATATTGTAAATCCAAATTTATCAAATATGAAGGGGGTTAAATCTTAAAATTGTTCACTATGATGGTAAGTAAATCCTGATAAATTGTTTGACAACCTTTAGTAGGATTTGGGTAGTTACAAAATCTAAAAGTATGATTTCCAACGACTTTTGGATTTAAAAGCTTAATGTTTGTATATCAATAATAAAATTAAGTTAAAGTTTACTTTAAGCTTTTTATTTACAATTATACTAATCATTAATTAAATTTTTATAGAACTAATTAATCAATAATCATAATTTTATTAGTCTGATTATATTAAATAATTATTTAACATTAATTAATTATCAAACTAATTAATAATTTTTAAAATTTTATAAAATGATTAAATTTAATATGTAATCTATTTTTATTAATTAATAATTAAATAATTACATAAATATTTATTTGATTATAATTAATTTGATAGCATATTAATTAATTAATTTTGTTATTATTCAATTAAATTAACATAAATAATTAAAAATAAATTAAAGTCACAACCATCTTCTCCTTCCCATCTCCTACCCGGAAACCTTGCGAAAGTCCCAACTCTACTAATTTCGCCCACAATAACCTTCGCAGCCGAATGCTCCACGATTAGAGCTGGGAAGGTGACGGCGGGATCGCAACATGGAAAGACTTCTGAAACTCTCATCTTTCTCCTCCCTCTGGTCCGCTCCTACCAAAAATCATTGAAGAAGGTAAACCTCATTCAACGTTCGTATGCTTTAGCTTCTCGTGCAAAAGTTTATTTTCATTTTTGCTTTAACCCATTAAATCTTTCAAACTACAGGATTTAGTAAATCACGAATTTATTGTGAATTGGCCTCATTTTAGGATTTACATGTCCTCCGGACCTACAATCAAATTTTTTGTCATTTGGCAATATTTATACTAAATCCTGCTTAAAATCGGCTACCACATGCCCCTTGGGGTTTGTTGCACGTGGTTGCTTGAGGGAGAAGGGGACAAGTTAAGCAAACATCATCCTTAGTGCGCAAAGGAAAAGGTGGAAAGCAAAGGCGAGGGAAACCGAGCAGGTTGCGGGAGGGAGCCAAACAGAAGGGATCGAGTTTCATGCAGGTAGGGAGACTGAATTTAGAAATTTAAGGTAAGTATAGGGGTTATGTTTTTATTTTATTATAAAAAAATATATATTTTTTTAAATTGATGTTATTAGTTTATATTAAGCCTTATGAATTAATAACAAAGATTATAAGTTCAAGGTCAATTTTATAATTTGATATTTTACATATTTAACTGAAAGTATTAATTATTATTTTATTAATAGATATCAGATCTAGAACAAGAGAAGGAAGGAATTTTTTATTTGGAAATTGAGGAAAAGTGAAAGGTAAAGATTTATGTATTTATTATGTATATTCTTTTAATTAAATGTCATTAATTAAATGTTAAATTTCATGAGTTAAAATTAATGACCAGATTTGAAAGAGCACTTGATTTAAAAACATGATTAGGAGAAAAATGTTTTATCTAATTAGTTATATTTAAGTCCGTTATTTTAGAAATAAGATCCTTATATATGTACTTTTAATTGATAGGGGTGACAAATAAAGTAAAGGGGAGGACTAAACTTTTAAAAAAATTTTTAAAGGTTAATGTGAGTAGTTATTTTTCTACATTTCAATAATATTTTTTTACTTGAACACTTATTCCTTAATGTGAGTAGTTATTTTTCTACATTTCAATAATTTTTTTTACTTGAACACATTCTTGATTTTATGTATATTATATTCTAATGTAATTCAACTTACAAGCAATTCTTCGTATTATTAGATAGAAAAATATGCATGTTAAATAATTGCACAATGATTTTTCTATAAAATTATAGATTATTGTTTGACATTTAGATTTGAGTAGAAGTGCATATATCAGATTATTACATAATATTTTAGATTCTAGTAGAAGTGCACATATTGGTGATACCGTTCTATAGTTCCTAAATGGTGCAATAAAGCATAAAAGATGTTGGAAATAATGTATGATTGATTACGAGAGAGGGGAGGTTGGAGGGCGGCGGGTAACCGTTATGAAGGGAGACGGGACAACAAACATGAAGCAGAAAATGGGTGGTTTTCGGTTGAAAACAGCAGGCGATGACATTGGTAAGGCTTTAGAAAGCGAAATCTGTGGTGGGACAGCACGTGGGACGATTTTGACGACTATCTAAATTGAAAAACAATGTCAAATGACAATCAACTAAGTACAAGTCGTTGGACAATGAGCCAGAATGAAAAATAGTGGGTTTCCTGTTGTGAACAATAGTTTACTGCAAGTTTGAAAATGAAGGAGAACTCTGAACTTCCGAAAGAGATCATCGCCTCGATCCTATTAGTCTACAGTCATACCACCAAAAAGAAAAGTTAATGATACAACACTCCAATTGAGAAAAAAGAAGAAAATATCTTCAAATAACATTAATAAAAAAAGTCTCATCCTGAAATAACACTAATTTTGAAATAAAGAAATAGAAGAAAATCAAAAAGGAAAAAAAAAATCACGCAAATGTTGAATCAGGAAGGAGTCGTGCTCGGTTTGCCTATACTGTGATTGAAGTAGCTATGATTCCGTGGCATGCGCGACTTCACAGGATCGATTCCACGTTCGAAATTCTTGAACTTGTGAAAATCTAATGATCGGAATTGCAGTGTTGAATCCCGTAATTTTTGTGGGACGCTCCTACATCATTATCCTTGACTATCTCTCCTTCTTTTGCAAAGTAGCCTCAGATGATACACACAATGTGTACTCCTGCTACTTGGGGGTGAACTATGTTTGAAGGGTGGTGTGAACCTCATACTGCGGTGTTGTCCCTCCACCATCAGAGTTAGGGTTTGAACATTCCGTAAAGTTCAATATGGTTGCAACTGTGCCACATTGCCAATAGAATGTCTCAATACCCTCAAATATCAAGCTATGGTGTTCTCCTTGGGATCCACTAGCTCACACTTTAGCATAAGCTGCTTGAACTCAGCGATGTACTTCTCTACTAAGAGATACTACCATTTTAATTGGTGAAGCCACGAGAACATTTCCTGTCTACAATGTGCTAGTAGGTACTTGCCCTGCATCTCCCTTTTTATATTAGACCAGGTAGTAATTTTGTTTTTTCTTTCCTTTAAGCTAGCGTACGCGCTTCAAATTTTCTCAGCACAGAGACGCACTCTTCCTTAGCTTGGTGGCAATCAAGCTTACCCTTACTATCGCTTGGAATATCTTTCCACTCAAAGATTTGTTCCAATATCTAGAGCCATTCACTATACTCATCCGGATTCATTTGACCGTCAAAATCTAATAGGTCCACCTTGACTCCAAAATCTTCTTCACTCCTCTTATACTCAATACCGAATCGACATGGCATTAATTCTTCATCACTAGAAGCTTCTTTCACCGTTGTTGCTATGGGTGACTTCCACATGCTGGTTTCTTTCAAAATCAGCTAGCCTCTGCAGCAACTAGATAATTTAAAGTTGCATAAGGTAATTTTAAAGCACCTCATTGAGAGTGTCACCTCGACTGCATGGTGTCTAGTTCTTCCAACTGAAAGTTCAACTAGCTTTGATACCAAATAACATCATTCTAGTATTCCTAGATTGTGTGATACAACATAAAATGTGTTGAAATAGTTGCAGGATTGATTATGTGAATGAGGAGGTTGGAGGGCAGCTGAAAACCGGTGTAAACAGTGACGGGACAGCAAACTGGAAGCACAAAAGGGGCGATTTCTGGTTGAAAACAGCAGATGGCGGCATTGGGAAGTCTGTAGGAAGTGAAATATGCGATGCGACAGAAGGTGGGGCGAGTTTGACGGCTGTCCTCAATGAAAACAGCAGTAAAACAACAAATCGGCAAGGTATGGGCAGCTAGACAGCGAGCCCGAATGAAAAACAATGGGTTTCCTGCTACAAAC